TTTTTCTAAGATGGTGTACAGAGGCTGCTGAACCGTGGGAGTGGAGTGATACCCCTTTAGGATGCCATACCGAGCAGAAAGCCTCCAAAAAATCCTCCAGTTACTAATACATTCTGCTTTATGAACGACACCAACTCCTCAGCTTTGCTCTTGACCTCAGTTGGTAATTGGGCGCTCTTCCGAATCTTCAGTTGTTCCTTGGCCTTTTTCATATCCTTTTTTACACGATTCCAGTCAACTTTGATGTAGCCAGTATGGTTTGCGAACTGAAGTAGAAAAAAGCCCCCTCCCACCGCTGTGGCAGCCAGCTTTCCAACTCTCTGAAATATGAAGCCAGTGCACCAGCCCGTGATGCCGCCAACCAGGAGCTGGGTTGCCACACTGTACTTCTCGCCCGCAGACCGTGTCTCCTGCCCAAAAAGTTTGCGCCACCAAGGCTGGTTTTTGCCAAATTCTGTAAGATCCAATGCCTCATAAGCATCAAAGTGCTCTTGACTGTTGGTGGCCATGTCTGTGAGCTGCGAGTTGCGAGAGGACAGCCGCAGAGGGTCAGTAGGGCAGGAGATAGAGCGCTTTGCGGTTACGGTGGTGGTGCTTGTGGTCGTGGTCATGGCCTGCTGACCTTCCGCACGTGGGCAGATGTATCCATTCCCACGGCCATGGCGAAAGTGGGCAGGTGGAGCATGCGCCTCAGCTTTTCTTCAGGCGGAGTTACGTCATAAAGCCACCTTGCTTGGCCTTTATCATACTGAGTGTTCTGCTTCCGGGGGAGCTGGGGCCCAGGAGAGGCTCCCGCTAGGCCTCACTTCTCAGGCTCGCCATAATGACAGCCCGCACCAGGCGGCGCGCCAACTCTCGCGACACCTGCTCCTTCCCCTCGGCCTGATCTGTCGAACTCTGCCGCAACTGCCTGAAGTTAATTTTTTAAAGACCCTAAATCTCTAAGCCAGGTAATGCATGGCAGGGAGGGGCATACTAGGGATGTGCACACTGAGATGCCAAGCCCTTCATGCCTGGTGCTGTAAATCTAGATAAGAACCCACGGCTGGTGAGCTAAGAGGCCCTAGAGTTGAGCCTGCTGCTATTACTTTGCTAAATGGACACAGTATCAGCTGTCTTCTGGATTCATTTCTCCTTACCCATTAGTTCGGGTCCTTATCCGAGAGCTGTCTCTGTGCAATGGATGGAGCTCATACAGACTCACCTCTGGTCAAGAGCAGAGTGTCCGTGGAGGTTTTGTCCATCACTGGAAAATCTACGTCGCACACAACACCCCCTTAGGCCCAGTGAATATTGAAAAAGAGGGGGTAGAAGATCTTAAGAGCCAGAAGTCAGGGAGGACTGGGACAACGCTTTCTTCTAAACATTACAGGACCACTGTCCTCATGAGCCTATAGCAACTGTGGGTGCCTACATGAGACCTGCACACGATCAAGGCACCCAGCCTTCCAGCATTGCTGCTTTTGAGAGCCTTGGGTCCCAGAACCCGGACTAGGGTCATCAAGGGAATGGAGAAAGGACAGACATACAGACACACATACAATGAAGCTGGGGTTCTCTATACAGCTGCAATAATGGAACCTCAGCTTACTAGGTATAGAGCTGGGGAGGGGAGCAGCTGGGCTGGGTAGGAGGTCTCTGTAGGAGCCCAGTCTCAGGCTCTGAGAATCCCAGAGGAGGAAGCCGCACTGGCTAGTCTTGCACACGCACATCAATCGTCGCATTGATCAGTTATTCACACTCTACTTGGACTCTGCGTTGCCCTTCATCTTGAACCTGGTCTATATGGATAATGGCTTTGCCAATTTCCCATGGGCCTCGGAATCCTTGACTAGCTGTGCCTATGTCAAAATTCGCGTCGGCTCAGGTCTTCAGTCATTCAGGACTTCCTCCATTCCCTGTATAGTATGGATGGGGGAAGGACATGAACGCCTCCAGCCCCTGGTTGAGCTGCTATTGACAACTGCTGGCTGTTAGGGGAAGGGCCGTGCTCTAGTGGATTGCCCCATACCCATGGATGTATGGGTAGCACTAACTGGACTTGGTGGTAGCAAAACCAAAACAAGAAAGCCTTGAATTTAGGGGCTGTTGGGAGGGGTCTGGGAGCAGTCGGGAGTGTGAGTGAGTGGAACATGATTAGCACATAATGTGTGTGCATATGAAGTTCTCAAAGGGTAGTGTGCTCACCTCCGGTGTGTCCCATCACCCTGACACCCACGGACACTATTGTTCTGAGCAAGGAATAAATGGGTCATCACTAGTCCTTGCCCTTTCTTTCACCGGGTTCCTCACTCTAGGAGGAGGACTCCACCAGCCAATGATCCAAGTTCTGAAACACTGACCCCGAAGCTATCGGCAGAGCTCATTCTCACAATACTCTTCCTGATTGAAGCTCAAGTTTATAGGAATGGCTTCCAAAGTTCAGCTTCCATAGATGAGGCATGACCCCGAGTTTCTCTGGGTTGATATAGAGAGAGATGTTCTGAAGCCACCCCTGACATTCTCCCGGCTCACCTGTGGCCTTTTCCTGGAGCCTGTAGCTGGTGTTTCACATCGGTAGGCCCAGAAGCTTATGTTTCAGTAATTCAACAACTAGAGCAGCTGGTTATTTTCCCTGAAGATTTAATACTTGTCATTTATCTGTGTCAAAACTGCAAAGGAGAAAGTTTCCAAAGACAGATTTATTATGCGCACTGAGCATCTCAGGTGCAGCGGGGCGTACAGATGGGCTGAGTCCCACATCCTCCACCCCCGCCGGTTTTGTTCTATAAAAATAGCCAGTCTTACTTTGCATTCAGACAAGTGAGGAATGTACAGTCCTGAGTCGTGAGTCACCACGGGCCACTCATGGAAAGTCACAGTATTGTGAGAATGAGCTCTGCCGGTAGCTTCGGGGTCAGCCACAAGCTGGCAGCGCTGGCTTTGGCAAGGGGCAAGCTGCAGCCAGAGTTGTTTGGTAATTTGTGAGGCTTGGGACGAGATGAAAATATGTGTCCTCGAGGCTAAAAAGCAGAAAGATGTGACATTATAGATAAGCCTTTTCTTCTCTTCTGTGGTTTTTCTGCGGATTTCACGTGGCGGTTTTCGTTTGTTATTTAACGTCCAAAGAAAAATTTAAGTCTTCTGCTATTACCATGGGTTCAAAAGTTTATTTTTATACCACACAATCCAGATATAAATACAAATGTGGAACATTTGACTGGTGCATGAGATCGCTGTAATTTTATCATTCCTGTTTGGCAGTTTGACAGGGAACTCTGAACTGCCCAGAAGAGATAAATCAAAGCCAGGCTTGAGAAGGGAGACAGGAAGAGTCTCCCAGGCATGTGGCCTCTAAGGGAGGACCCCAGAGTGAGGAAAGCGTGGATCCCTCCTGGTGCCCTGGAGTCCTGCCCCAGGATAAAAAGAGTGTACTCAATCTTCTCCTCGAAGGTACACCAACCTCCACCTCCTCAGGCTCCACCTCCTCAGCCTCCACCTCCCTCAGCCTCCACCTCCCTCAGCCTCCACCTCCCTCAGCCTCCACCTCCTCAGCCTCCACCTCCTTCAGGCTCCACCTCCTCCTAGGGGAGGACTGAAGAGGCCTCAGAGGCCACTAGGGGTATGACTTGGAGAACTGAGTCTTGTAGGCCTCTTTTCCATGAATCCTCAACTCCAACTCAGAGTAGATGGTTCATCTGCAATGGTTGAGGTGTCCCTATTGTACTGCCTGGATTGGGGAGCTGAGTGGTTAGATCCCCAGGAGCTATGATCACTCAGCTCCCCAATCCAGGCAATATAGTTCCTCTAGACGGGCAGCCCTTTCTGAAGGACTCTTCGGGGCATGTGCTAGAGTCTTGCTTCCTGCTGTGCTGCTAGGATGAAAGGCGACAGTAATGGTGGGGCAGGGTTTAGAGGAGCCATCCTGCAGGACATCCTGACACGAGGCAAGACCATGAGCGAGCTGTGGCCAGTAGACCCTGTGAATGCCCCATTGCCCATCTCATAGGATCCTTCTTTCAAAACACATCCGTGATAAAGAAAATATTAATAATTTCCAAGTGGCAGCCATGAAGCAGTAAGCTAGAAGCACAAAGCTCTTCTGAGGAAGAGGTTTTCTGTCCGTGCACTGCTGTGAGGCCCTGGTTGTAACCTTAGATCAGAATCATGGCCTGGGACTGATACTGCTCTGTCTAGAAATCCATGGGCCCCTGGATTCAAGGTCCATTGTTAAGCAGGTTGTTAGATGTTAGAGCCGTGAGGGACAGAGCAGCCACAGAAGTCCTAGACTCAGAAGGAACCAGAGTCTCCAGTCCTGCTTCTGACCTCCTGTCTGGAAGTTTAATGACCACTGCACTTCCCTACAGACGGTCCCCAACTTAGGACGTTTGACTTTACAATGGTGTAACAGTGATATGCGTTCCATAGTCCATACTCCCAAATTTGCATTCGGTTTATTTCCTGAGCTAGTGGACCTGGAGTTACAGCATGCTGTCAGCTGCCACGTGGGTGCTGGGAACAGAATGTGGGTACTCTGCAAGAACAGCTGGCACTCTTAGCTGCCGAGCCATCTTTCCAGCTCCATGGTTGACACACTAAGATGCTGGGGAGTGGTGAACCACAGCTTCTAGTCACCAGCCATGAGGGTGAGCAACCCATGCTCTGAAGTATATCACGTTGTTGAGATAGATTGTTCAGGAGGTAAGGGATTAAATGCATTCAGCAGGATATTTTAAACTTACGATTGACTTATCAGGACACACAAGTCAAATAGCATCTGTATATTAAAAGCTCTGTTAGAGAAAGCTGCCATTATCCATACATGTCATCATCATATACTTTGGGGGAGAAACCACAGGCAAACAATAGCAGAATGAAAAATGTACCCTAGGTTATCCCAAAGACACCAGATCCTATAAATTTTCCTTATTGTAGAGAAAAGTTTTGGCAGAGATGGCCAACTTAGGGCTCTCTGGCCTTGGATTAACTGAGGTGAACCAGCATTATCAACATCCTCAAAAGAGGGCGGTGGAAGTTGGTGGTCCCTTTGTCTTTCTTTTCCTATAGCTCTGATATAATACCCTGGCAGAAGCAGCTTAAGGAGAGAGGGTTGATTGGCTAACAGTTTCAGGTTGCAGTCTATCTCAGCAGAGAAATACCAGCAGCAGCGTGAGGGAGCCGGTGACATCGCATCCCCAGCCGGGAAGCAGAGAGCAACGCCTGACGCTTAGTTACCGAGGATCTGAGTCAGGGAATCGTCCTTCCCATACTAAAAATGGGTGTTTCCACATCAGTGAGCACAACAAAAGTAACTGCCCACAGGTACATCAGGGCTAATCTTACAGGCACGACCAGGGAATTCTCACAGGTACACCAGGCGGTTCTCATAGGCACACTAGGTGATTCTCACAGGTACACCAGGTGGTTCTCACAGGTACACCAGGTGATTGTCACAGGTATTCCCAGGTGGTTCTGGATTCTATCAAGCTGGCAATCAGCACTAACCTTCACATTGTGAGATACAGAAGAGGAGAAGGTCATATGATTATGGAGGCAGAGGCTTCAGTGCTTGGTCATAAGCAGTTGGTACTCCCTGAAGCTGGGAAAGGCAAGGGGCTGATGCATCATCGCTCTGTGACATGTTGCTTCCAGTCATTGAGGCTCATTTTTTTTTTTTTTTTGAGGCTCATTTTGAACTGCTGGCTCCTAGAACTGTGAGAGAATACATTGCTGCTGATTGAAGCAGACAATAAGTTTGTGGTCATTTTTTACATCAGCCTTAGACAATGTGCAAACTATTAGAATTAATAAATATGATTAGCAAATTTGTCAGATATGGGATCATCTGCAAAAATCAATTGTATTTCTACCAGGAAATTTCTACAAGTTAAACTGAAGACAAAATATCCGATTTGTAATATCATCAATAGTTATTGTGTTGCCAGGATAAGGTCTAGTAAAAATACTACTGAGAGAAATTAAAGAAAATTTAAATGAATGAAGAAATATATCATGTTCAAGTATCAAAAACTCAATACCACAAGATGTCATTTCTCCTCCAAAATATCTGTAGACAAGGCTAATAAAACCAGGTAGCTTTGTTCTGTTGGCTAAAATTGATAAATGGATTGCAAAATTCATATGGGAACTCAAAGGATCAAGAATAGACAATCTTGGAGAAGAATGAATACTTTACTAGTTAACAGTGGAGGCCCAATGTAACATGGAGGGTCCTGTTTGTTGTTGTTTTTTTTTTTGTCCTGCCCAGTACCCCACAACTGTTTAGCCCCAAAGAAAATCACAAATAGATCTCTATAAGTTATAAAGCTGATTGGCCCATTAGCTCTAGCCTCTCATTGGCTAACTCTCAACATCTTGATTATCCCATTTTTCTGATCTATGTTAGCCATGTGGCTCAGTACCTTTTTCAGTGAGGCAGAACACATCCTGCTGCTTTGGTGGTCTGGGCAGGAGTGGGAGGAATCAACTTCCTCCTTCCCAGAATTCTCCTGTTTTCATTACATCATTTCTACTTCCTGTCTGGTTTTCCCACCTATATTTCCTGCCTGGCCAATCAGCGCTTATTTATAACATGATTGACAGAATACAGACAATTTTCCCACACCAGCCCAAAAGTGTGAGCCTATTTCCACCTTGACCAAAGGTCAGAGAGTTGGAAACTACCTCTATTTTTTCAAGGTTATTCTGTTTCTACCTCAAACAAAGTTTCCACCCAGATTGAGATCAGAGACTTCTGTTCTCTCGAGGTCATTATCAACAGATGTGACTAATATCCAGATCTTGTATTTCAAGAATAGAGAAGTAGATATGTTTCTACCTCAAACAAAAGTCTAAGGATTCAACTAGGATTTCACCTTCCTTAAGGAGTTAACAGTAGATTCCCCCAGGGAGTGGTTTGCCTACAGCATATTTTAGTCTAGGGTGTGACAATGACTTGTTTTGTTCTAGCAACAGAATGTTTAACTATGGCTGTAGCCTGCGGCCTTCAACTGACCTGTTCATTTCCTTGTTAATGCATGCATTTTTTTTAAATAAATCTTGGGGTCAGGGTATTTTAAGCAATCAGAAATTAAATGCGGACAATTTTGGTACTCACTAGAACTCCCTCCCAGTAATATTCTATGTTTTTCTGTTTTATTATTTTCACACACATCTTCGCATTCTTTACTAATACTTCTAAATCCCCACACCCTTACCCTAGCAAGTGGTATTTTTGTTCAGGCTGGTCCCCGACAGTTAACAAATTTAATTATTCATATATAGAGATTTAGACAATACAGAATTGTTACAAAGATAGAAAAAGAAATTAATCCCAGAAAAAGTACATTTGATTTGTGAGTAAGCCAGTGCACAAGGAAGAGAGTCCGTGTAGTAAATGTTACTCCATGGATTATATGAAAATATGGTTTTTTGATTTAATTATTTTACACCAATGAAATAATCAAATACTAATGGATAGTAGCTTATAAGCATAAACAATAAAAACCATGAGGGCTTAGAAGAAAATCTGGGGTCACAGTCATACTATTTTTGAGTATGTAAAAGGATAGAAAAATTGCTAGGCAGAAAGAGAGTAAAAATTTCCTGCCAGAGTGGAAATAAGGTATTTTGATATCTATAGCCAACAGAGGACATGGCGGCAAAATTTAGAGAAAGCTCTCAGCCACCAACTAAAGAAAGGAAGCCCAACATGAGAAAAAAATAGGCAAAAGGCTTGTACACACTGCACGAAGAGAACATCCAAATGGCTGTTAATTAAATGAATGAAGCCAACCATGGGAAAGAGACTCAGCTTCATTAACAAGGGAATGCAAGTTAAGCCACAGCAAACCACTTCCGCCCACGGGCCTGACTAAAGAGGGAAAAGATGACATTCCAGATTGAGGCAGGCGAGAACGAGGGACGAAGCGAGCTCTGCTCTGCTGCTGGCGGAAGCGTAAATTGGTACAATTATTTTGGTAAAGTGTTTATCAGTGTCAAAGTGGAACACGCACATACCTTATTACACAGCTGTTTCCATTCTAATTACATAGCCAGTAGACACGCACTCACGGACACAGCAATAACATGTTCTGGAATGGGCAGAGCAGGACTATTTGGAGTAGTTTTTAGAAAGGATACTCCCTAAATATCCGAAATTGGTAGACCGAAGATATCAATTTGGCATGCTCCCACATTAGAATGCTGTACAAACAGCCTATGTCCACACAACAGTACGAATTGATCTCAGAAGCAGGATGTAGAGCATAGAAAGACTGTTTATTACCCTACTTTATTAGACTCCAGAAACAGGCAAAACTATGCTGTTGGGCATTGAGACAAAGGCTATCCTTGGGTAGACGGGGTGACTGGAAAGACTGCGGGGGTGCTGGTCAGCTCCCATTTCTTGATCTCCGCGATGGGTGTATTCTTGTGTTTAGACTGTGAATATTCACTGAGTTCAATGTGCATATGAGAACGCCATATTTGTTGCAGTGAAACATTACAAGACAAAACAGAAACCACAGACTCTCCAGCGTTAGAATGAGGTCTAAGGAAACTGTTAGCACAGAATAAACATAACAAAGGTAGCTGTGGCTGAGCAGGGTGTTCAGCGGGGGAAGCCTTTATTTACTGTGCAAGCCTAAGGACCTGGGTTTGGTTCCCCAGCTCCTGTGTAAAGAGCCAAGCATGGTGGTGCACACCCATAGCCCATGTGATAGGGAAGTAGAACTAGGGGATCTCTGGGGCTCATTGCTTACCTGGTCTCATTGAATCAGTGAGAGAAACCCTGTGTCCAGATATAGGGTGAAGAGGATAAGAGAAGACACCTAAGATTGACCTCTGGCCTCAGCACCCATGAACACACACACAGCTGTACCCCCCCAAACACACACACACACACTCACACACCACAGTGCACCTACCACACATTGTGACTCCTGCATAGCATAAATTACTCCTTGCTATCACCTGCTACAGTGAATGCTACCACCTCCCCCTGATGTTCCTGGGAGCCAGACTGACAAATGAGGTCCTGTCCAAACTGGATTCTGCCACGGTGACTGGAATTTGTCAAGATCAGTGTCGTCTCACTAAGCATCATCCGATTTGTGAACTGAACCCTGGTGATCACTCACATCTGTCAACACAGAATGACTACTCTGCTTTCGACAGTTTTCTAAAACAGCTGGCCGAGTGAGTCGAAGAGCCTCTAAAGAGCCGTGTCCATGGTTCTCTACAGCCATCTCTGGCAGATTTCACATACAGGTGTGCCATTTAGGGGGAAACCAGAAACGACTTCTGAAGGGATTATTGCAAAACCCAAAGAAGGTTGAGGAACACAGAGATGCTCAGAAGTCCCTGTGACCTACTTCATCAATGTTAACCGACTTCTGTGTCAAGTTTCTTCTTGTTCTCTGTATCAGAGTTCTCTTTAGAAATAGAACCATTAGAACCGGGCTTAAGTAGATTGGCTTACATATAGTCTAGATACTCCAAAGATGGTCTTCCCTCTGGAGAGCCTGAGAACACATGGCTGCTCAACCTGTGAGGCTGGATCTCTCAGAAGTCCCAAACTGCTTTGAGGAACTGGAGGATTACTGGAGTGGTCCAGGTTGGGAGGCTGAAGAAGCTGGCTTTTGACGGCATTGAAAGATGGCAGCAGTGGTGGCACAGGGATCGTGAACAAAGTGGAAGAACTTGTCCTCGAGACTTGAAGAAAGCAAAAGCGTCCCCCTTGTATCTGCTTATGTTTGGTCCATCTGTAGACGATGCTTCCTCTGTTTAGGGTGGGTTTTCCTGCTTCAATTAATCTAACCAGGAAAATTCCTCAGAGGTGCACCCAGAGGCTGGTCTATTAGTTGATTCTAGATCCAGTCAAGTTGATGCCCAAGTGTGGCCATCACAGTCTCCAAATGCTATAATGACAGTAAGGCCAAATCCTCAGATACTCCTAGTGGTGATTTGTGTTGCAAACCTGAATCCATTGGTTTGTCTACATTCCCCCTTAATCTACAAAGGCTGAAAGTGGTTTATACAAACATTGCTGTTGGAACCATCTTGAGAGGCATCTGCTTGCTCATGGCTCCCTCCCTCTTGGTTCTGACAGGGTATAAGAAAGCCAGGTTGAACATCATTATCCTTCCTAATGACCTCGATGCAAAGATGCTGCGGAGTTAGCAGACCCCAGCTGCGCCACTCACTAGCTTTCTCCTGAGGATTCCACCTTGGCACTTGGGACTGCAAGTACTTTGCATGGACTGGCTGTCCTGGGATCATGTTGCCTTACAGAAAGGAAGAGAGCTGCTCTCGAAGGCAGAGGGAATGAAACTGGTGTAAAAAGAAAAAAAAAAACGCAAAGGGGCAAGGAGAGAGAGGGAGGGAGGGAGGAGAGAGTGGGGAAGGAAGAAGGAGGAGGGAGGAGGGAGCTGGATGTTTTAAGTTTTGACTCTCCTAGTTTTCTCTCCATTGGTTGGACACATCTACCCCCCCATGCCATAAAATAAACTCTACTATTCCACTGACCTTTCCCTGGTCCTTTTAGCTTAAGTTAGCTGAACACACCCTCTACAAACAGTTTACATCTAAAATAGAATACGTAACAGTAAGATTAGACTGGCGCACATTGACAATGAGATGGCAGATGGGAAATGAGGCCCCAGTAGCGCTGTGTCCAGAAGCAAGGCTACTCAGGGAAGCCATAGACTCTGTGTGTTGATGACTAAGCACCAACACTGTTGTTTCCTTTCTTAGCAACCAACACTCAGGGGGAGGATGCACAGGTAGAAGCTGTGCTCTGTCATATGTTTTTTTTTAATATTTTATTTATTTATTATGCATACAGTGTTCTGTCTGTGTGTATGCTTGCAGGCTAGAAGAGGGTACCAGACCCCATTACGGATGGTTGTGAGCCACCATGTGGTTGCTGGGAATTGAACTCAGGACCTTTGGAAGAGCAGGCAATGCTCTTAACCACTGAGCCATCTCTCCAGCCCCTCTGTCATATGTTTTAAAAATACTGGGAACATCTGTTGACTGAGATTTCTGTCCCACCTGGTCCCACAGCCATTAAGTCTCGAAGAAACATACAGAGGTCTACATTAATCATAAACTGGTTGGCCTAATAGATCAGGCTTCTTATTAACTCAAATAATTTATATGAGCCCCATAATTCTTGTCTGTGTTAGCTTCATGACTTGGTACCTTTATCAGTGAGGCATTCTCATCTTGCTTCCTCTGTGTCTAGGTGATGACTGCAAACTGAGCCCTTCTTCTTCCCAGAATTCTCCTGTTCTTGTCACCCCACCTATACTTCCTTCCTGGCTACTGGCCAATCAGCATTTTATTAAAATAATACAAGAGACAGGATACAAGATCATTGTCCCACAGCAAACATCTGATAAATAGTCCCACCTTTAGAGACAGTGATCAAATCAGTCTTGGCTGGCATCTGCA